CGATGCAAGATTTCAGACATTTTATCATTAACAATGAGAAATTTGGCCATATACTGTAAGGTTTGCATGGAGGTGTCTCGGAACGGTTGGGTCCTTTCTACCTCGATCTTTTGCTACCTTCTGGCCCCTGCACTATCCACTGCCCCGCTGCACTCCATGACCTAATACTCCCTCTCCCTCTTTCTACCCAATACCCCTGCATCCTTCCCTGCCCTGCTGCGCTGTATGACCCTTGTAAGTTTAGCGCTTCTTTTTGCTTACAGTAATAATTGGAACAGTTGGCTGTATGGACACTTAAGATATAATGCTCCAGTATATGACCTTGTCACTGTCAACATGCTTTGCATTTTATGTCATTGACAACTAAAATATTACAAATCGTACTGCCAGAAATACTTAGCACAATATACTTTGCCTCCCGGAGGTTACATAAGGTTTGTCAGGACGCGAGTCTTAGTCACATGATGACCTACAGCTGGAGCTTTTGGTCACCAGACTAAGTAAGTAAGTTTATTCAGGTATACACAAATACAGTTACATAGAATTATCATACATAACAGCATATGTGTAGAGAACCTAGGATAACCCAAAAAAGTCAGACAGAGTGACTTATTTCCATTGGGGTCCTTTTACCTTATTATTATAATATAAAGGTTATAATATTTTCTTATTAATCTATAATGAAGATAACATCTTATTATCATACTAAAAAGACTATCTACTACACGAGGGTCATTAAGACTATCTACAATACGAGGGTCATTACTAGGAATAAGGTAAAATTTACACGTATGTTAGCTAAAAAATAGAAAATCATTCCCCTCCCTTTCTGTAGCTACATTCATCAGACACCTTTTGGCACTCTTCTTGAACTGGTTCATGCTATGACTGGCTTTGACATGTGCGGTCAGTCTGTTCCATTCCTTTATTGCTGTACAATAAAAGGTGTTTGAAGCCTGGCCAATGACTGTGGGCACTACAAAGTTGTGTACTCTCCCCCTAGTACTATGATTGCTTTGGTTCCCAACCTTGACAAAATTGACAGCAAGATATTCTGGACACTGTTCGTGAGCAATTTTATAAACATGATTTAGCTTCAGTTGTTTTACTCTTCAACATTCAGCATATCCAACTGCTCTAATTCATTCTGGCCTACATGCTCTCTTGGTCCCAGCCCCAGGATGAATCTTACGATTTTGTTCTGGGTGATTTGCAGTCTATCTTTCAGTTTTTTTTTTGTCAAGGCAGAGTACCATGAAGAGCAATTATTATTATTATTATAATCAAAAAAAGAAGCGCTAAGCCACAAGGACTATACAGCGCTGCAGGGCAGGAAGGAAGCGAGGGCATCAGGTGGCAAAAGGGAGATGGATGAGTAATAGGTTACGGATAACAGCGGGGTAGTGGATGGTGAAAGGGTAAAGGGCAGCAAGAGACTGAACTAGAAAGGGCTGAGGGGAGTGCGAAAAGTATCATCAGAGTTTGTGGAGTAAATCAGTCGTTGTCAAGAAGTCAATGAGAGAGTCAGGATTAAAGGAGGGTCCATCAGCAAGAAGGGAAGGTAAAGAGAGAGTAGTAGAACGAAGACGACGTTGGAGGTAAATTCTGCGTGCTCGTTGATAGAGAGGGCAGTCTAACAGAATGTGGCTAATCGATACTGGAACTTGACACTGCTCACAGAGAGGAACAGGGTGCCTCTCCATGAGATACCCATGAGTAAGACGAGTGTGGCCAATGCGAAGGCAGGAGAGAGTGGTCTCCCAACCTCGGCACTGATGACAAGAAGACGGCCAGTAACCTATGCTCGGTTTAATAGAATGAAGTTTGTTACCGAGCAGAGTTGACCAACGTTGTTGCCAACGGGTGCGAAGGTGGGTAGCTATTGCAGCAAAATAGTCCAGAAATGGAACACCTCTATAGGAAATTGGTAGGTCATGTACTGCTGACCGCGCAGCAGTGTCTGCCTGTTCATTGCCCTGTATGTCGACATGACCAGGGACCCAACAAAAAACAATATCTTTATGTTTGGTAGAGATACGGCGTAGCCAAAGTTGGATACGGAGAACTAGGGGGTGAGATGTATCAAATTTTCGTATAGCCTGTAGAGCACTAAGGGAGTCTGAGACTACTACAAATGATGACACAGGCATAGATGCGATACGAATAAGTGCTGCAAGAATGGCATACAATTCAGCAGTAAAAATGCTAGCCGAAGATAGTAAATGCCCCCGCACAACGCTGTCCGGAAACTGCTGCGAATCCGACGCCGTCTGAAGACTTAGAGCCATCTGTGTACACAGCGGTGGCATGAGAATGGAGTTTACCTGGAGTTTTACCTGGAGAGAGTTCCGGGGGTCAACGCCCCCGCGGCCCGGTCTGTGACCAGGCCTCCTGGTGGATCAGAGCCTGATCAACCAGGCTGTTGCTGCTGGCTGCACGCAAACCAACGTACGAGCCACAGCCCGGCTGATCAGGAACTGACTTTAGGTGCTTGTCCAGTGGGAGTGGAAGTGATCAAGGAAAAGAGAGCGGGAAGCCACCGTAGGCAGTTGAGCTTTCGAGCAAGGGAGTGAGAAAGAACAGACCCGAACAGCTGGAACTTCCCAGGGGGTAGGGAAAAGTGAGATGCTACATGAACATATAAAGGTGGTAACTGAAGGGAAGACAAGAGTGAATGTAGGCGAAGAGAAAAGGGACGGAGCAAACAGGGGCGGCAAACGAATAAAGAATGTCTACTAATATCGGTGACCATTCTATAAATGGAAGGATTGTGGAGATCGTGAGAGCATACATAGTAGCGAAGGCAATGGGCATCACGGCGATCAGACAAGGATGGAACATTCACTTCTGCATAGAGGCTCTCAACAGGGGAAGACCGAAAAGCACCAAGGCACAAACGTAATCCTTGGTGATGGATAGAGTTAAGACTAGAGAGAGTAGCAGGAGGGGCCGCGGAATAAATCTGGTCACCATAATCGAGTTTCGATAAAACGAGGGTTGAATGTAGGCGAAGCAGAGTTCGACGATCAGCTCCCCAGGAAAGATGAGCAAGGGTTTTAAGAAGGTTTAGCCGGCTGTGACAAGTTGCCTTCAGAGAGGTAATGTGAGGTTTCCAGGATAACCTACGGTCAAAGAGAAGGCCTAGAAACCTGACTGTATCACATTCGGGGATACGGGAACCATAGAGATACAAAGGATGATCGGAGATGACAGAGCGTCTAGTGAAAGTAATTTGGTGAGTTTTGGTACTTGAAAATTTAAACCCATGCGTGGTGGCCCAAGTGGAAACACGGTCGACCGCATGCTGGAGAGAAACTGCAATGAGATGACAGTCAGCGCCTGCACAAGCAATAGCGAAGTCATCAACATAGAGTGATGACAAGCGTAATCCATATGGCATTGTATAAGGGCTAGACATAGGGCCTTGCGAGCCTCAGTAGGTAGACACTATGCTTGTCTATACAGGAACTTCAGTCTGGCATTCGCTTTCTTTCCTACACTGTTCCCTATCAATTCTCCTGACATGCATGGGTCAAAGGAGATTCTCAGATATTTTACTGATGAAACCAAATTGATGGGCTCCCCATTACACTGCACATTAAAATTATTTACCCTTCTCAGTTTGTTTCGTGCCAAAAAGAATGGCTTCAGTTTTCCCGAGGTGTAATGATAGTTTGTTGTCTACTAACCATTTGCTGCAGGACTCCAGTTCCAGTGTTAAAACATTAGCTATATCTTGTGGGTCTTTACCTGATACTAACAGAGCACTGTCATCTGCATACAGTAGGAGTTTGCACTTGACACTGATAGGCATGTCATTGACATAACATAAGAATAATAAGGGACCCAGAATACTACCTTGGGGAACTTCACATGCTATCGGCAGGGGTTCTGATTCCGTTTTGTTGATTTTGACAATTTGTCTCCTGTTGCTAAGGTAGGACTTAAACCAGTCTACAGAACCTATACCGATAGCTTGAAGTTTCTTACATAATATATTGTGGTTGACAGTATCGAAGGCCTTTTGCAGTTTAAGGTTACCATACCTATGAGGTTCCCCTTTGACATTTCAGTTCTCAGGTAATCCATCAGATTAATTAGGGAGGTGTCGGTTGAGTAAGATCTTCTAAAGCCCGATTGATAGCTATGGAGAATGTTGTTGTCATTAAGGTACTTAACTACTGGAGAGTACACCGCCCTCTAGAATTTTGGATATTATACTGAGTATACTAACAGGCCTATAGTTGCTTACATCAGACCTACTATTTTTCTTGAAGATAGGAGTAACTCTGGCCTCCTTGAACCCATCCGGTACGGTATTAGTGATGACTGATAGATTTATTATGTGAGCAATAGGGATTGACAGTTCAGAAGCACCATCTTTTAGGAAGTTAGAGGCCCCTCAAGGAAGGTTCCTTGATGTTGGTGAGGGGCTCTTGATTTGGGGAATTGGATCTGTGCTCCAGTTCCCCGAATTAAGCCTGAATGCCTTCCACATCCCCCCCCCCCAGGCGCTGTATAATCCTCTGGGTTTAGCGCTTCCCCCTTTATTATAATAATAATAATTAGGAAGTTAGACGGGATGTTATCAGGGCCTGTGCTCTTAGTTGGGTTTAACCTGCTTAGTTCTTTTTGAATAAGGTTATGAGATACACTTACTAGTTGACAACTGTTTGGGGTTACCCCTTTATTGGTATAGTATGTTTGAAACTTATCAGAATCTGTGTTAAAGGTATTTGATGCAGCTGGTAGTTTACTTACTAGTGTTGATGCAACAGATGTGTAGTAGGAATTAAAGCAATTTGCCACCTTAGATGTTTCGTGGCATACCTCGTCATCGACCGAGGCCTTCCACTGGCTTACCCTGTCCTAGGTAATCTACACATATGCTGGTATGCATGACAGTTTATGTAACTGTACTTATGTGTACCTGTACCTGAATAAAGTTACTTATTATAACCGGTGGTGAACAACTAGTGGGAAGTAAGGTGCAACACGGCGTAAACTTCAGTGGCCCTCTCAACCCCCAACAACAGCAAAAGCAACCCTTTTGTGTTACTATGTAGCAGTGTTGAGAATGGCGTTGTATACATTTATAATACAGGCAACAATTAAGTTACTGATAGTAGCTGAATGGGAATGGAGTAAGACGAGCGTGAGAGGAGGACAAGTTCGTCTTGGTGCCTACAAGGGTTCCAAGGAGCGCATCCACAGGTTTTCTCTGGTCAGGTCTAATAGTAGTTTTGGACTACAACATCAGGGTGGCTCAGACACCCAGCTGGTAATGCAGGTGTTAGCTGCTCTGGACAAAGTCATTGATTATTATGAGAAAAATTACGAGTTCATTAATTTTGATGGCATGTTTGGTGCCAAAGTTGTTGAAGGTGAGTTTTGGTACTCAGAGTGGCTTCTTTAATATTGATATATATCTTAAACTAATCACAGTTTATTTCTATAAGATATAGAATCAAGTTACAGCTTCTGGAACTTATTTTTCTCATATATTTACAACTCTTGCAACTCAGTTTCACATCCTTACATTCTCACGCCACTATAACTTATTCCCATTTTCACATCCCTACATCTCATTCCTACATACCCACAGATCATTTCCACCTCCCAACAACTCCCGCTTCCCCACAACTTATTCTTACACCCCTACAACAACCCAAAACTCAGTCCTTTACCCTTACAATTTACATAGTACTTCCTAACACTTCCAACACCCATACAACTTGCTCACACCCCTAGAACTGGTTCACACATCCCATCTTGTGCGTTTAACACTTGGTTTTGATTATAATAATAAAATCACACATCCCTATAACTTGCTCTCATACCCCTACAATTCCAACACCCATACGACTTACATACCCCTGTAACTCACACATTTTTTTGGGGGGGACGGGGGGTCGGGTTATTAGGGGTGGAGGCTACCTTTCTTGGTTGCACTGAGGCTGAGATACATCAAGGCCTATTAAATTGTTCATCAAACTTGAAGATAGAGGCACTTGAAAAAACCTTTAGTAGGCTTCCTGTACATTCGATGTTCATTAAAGCCTGCCCCACACCTTCCATTATTTAAATTGACATTATTTTATTCTTAATCCTATTTCCCAATGCCAACTTAAAAAATAGATCCCACAAATACAGTATATAATCTGTATGAGTTCATCTCTTACTTTAACACTATACGAAAGATTTCAATTACAGTATACACAGTAGTAAATTGTGTAAAAGTATCCTACACTATATTGTACAGTATTTACTTTTTCACAGGTCAGCTGAATCTTTTAGTTGCTGAGTATAATAAGGGTTTCTTGAGTGGCATAATGGACAGTATCATGAAGAACGATGTCTCAAGAATGGCAGCCAGAGCAGGTAAGAAACAGTATATGGTATCTTAATATATTAATGTAGTTCACTGCTTTATTATAGAGGTGGTCAGCAGTAATAAAAAAAAGTTGCCTTCCTAGTTTATTAACTTGCACATGAGTTGCTTGTATATAAAATACTGTAGGAATGTAAAGGATGGTTATGTTTCATACTTGTTTGTGTTGTACCTCAGTACTGTAGTTGAAAAATATATTTGTTTCCTAAGTGCCTGATTTGTAAGTGTGAATGTTTGTAACTTGGGGTTTTGTAAGTTGGAAATGTCCTGTACATATAGCAACAAGGATACATTCTATAAAAAAGTGATTCTAAATAAATTTACACTAATTGCAACACATTTAACCATAGACTTCAGTATTATTATAAGATGCATTCTGAGAGATGTTAAAAAATACAGTGGACCCCCGCTTAACGATCACCTCCAAATGCGACCAATTATGTAAGTGTATTTATGTAAGTGCGTTTGTACGTGTATGTTTGGGGGTCTGAAATGGACTAATCTACTTCACAATATTCCTTATGGGAAAAAATTCGGTCAGTACTGGCACCTGAACATACTACTGGAATGAAAAAAGTTCGTTAACCGAGGGTCCACTGTATAATAAAACTTTCCTTTTAATTCACAACATTGACAGAAGTATCAGATAAATACCATGTATGCCTACCACTTGATTGTCTTTGGGAGCTTATGTTGACAGTGGTAAAATGTACAATTTATTTTACAGTGTCCTATACTGTGAAGCTGAACTAAGCTTCTCAGTTTCTAGCGAATTCTTGTGAGTAAAAATATTAACGAGTGTAGTAGAATGAATCTCAGTCACCAGTCATTAGAGGTTATTGTACTACAAGCAACAACATTTTATTGTGCAAGAGACTTTCTGGATTTATTTTCAGTCATTATGTATTTGAAAATACGTTATATGGGCATTCACTGTACCTTCCTGTGGCATACACTCATTTTACAGGACGTGTTGTAAAATTGGCCGTACCCTACCTGCATGAAAAGGATGAGGAATACATGAAACGGTTAAAACGGATGTTCCAGTTGTCATGGGATATTGGACATTCCCACCGTACTGTTGACATGTCTCTACTCTGGTCTAGTCATGTACGTCTTCTTGCCCAGCCAGAAACCCTCAATGGTAAGTTGTGGTATAGGTTGCACCTTAACAGTGTTTAAAATATGCTAGTTGTAAAACTCTGGTTTAAAAAAAAAAAGTAAGGATTACAAATGTAATTAGGAGCTAGTCTAGAGTTTGCTGATCCCACAAAATGGCAAGGGAGGGAGGGAAATGTGAGATGGAGGGCTGCCTGCTTTGTCTGTTGTTGTTTAATTCATGTTAAGCGCTAAACTCATGTAGGTCATTCAGCACAGAATGTGGCGGAGGCTTGATCTTCCGTCTTCTGAGTGCAAGACAGATGTGCTTCCTGTTTGTACTCATTTATATCACCCAGAGCTGCCTGCAGTGCAGAGATGTGAGGTTCTCTTGCTCCAATTTATTTTGCTCTTTGTATCCAACAGTTCACACTGTAATGTAGAAGTATTGTGTCCTGTTAAAATTATATTATGTAATTTATTTCTTTCATCTAGGAATACCAGTACAGTACATGTATGCAGTAACTGAATGAAATATTTTGTAATACAGACAGGTATAAATATGGTATTACATATATATGAAACTGTCTACAGTATATTCTACAAATGTGGTCTTCCAAATATTTATCAGAAGTCGAGAGTGACCATTGCATGGCCGAGCTATTAGAACCAGTTAATGGGATGATGTGCCACATGACAGAGAGTTGCCAGAGGATGATGACCAGACCTGGAAGAGACAAATATGCTTTGAATCATCAGATACTTTACACAATGGTAGCAGAAATGGTAAATAATTACTTTATAGTTCAACTATATTTTGTCATATTAAAAGATATATTAAATTGCACAGTATAGGTATTACACTACAACATATTTTGTTATTATAGCTACACAAAATTTTTACAGTACAGGAGGGCCCGACTTATTCAGCAGGTTAGGTTATGCACATTTCTTTTCAGTTTCCAATTAAAAAATATTAATATTGCTTTTTCTGGGAATTTGTTCTAATGAACTGCTATATATATCATAATATATCAACCTCCCTACCACCCCTTTCAGTTAGACCTGTTTTACTCTCCAAATGAAATCCCATTTTCTTTGCCTTTACAAACAGGGGTTCCTTTGCTGGAACAACTATAGCATTCCTATAGACAAACACTCCATCTTCCACTCTTGTGTCATTTAGGGACCAGTGTCTTATCAACCTCAGGCTGGTGCAGTCAGACATGTCTAACTTTGATGATAGAGCCTGTATTACCAATAGTCCATGTCAGTGACCCTCGAGGATTAACCTCTTATTTGTGCCATACTTCTTCTTTCTTTCAACAAGCCGGCTATATCCCATTTAGTAATATATACAGGAGTAGGGATGACTAGCTCCATGCTCCCGGCATTTTAGTCACCTCTTATGACACGCATTACTTATGGGGGAAGAATTCTATTCCACTTCCCCATGGATAAACAGAAATAAACAAAAACAAGAACTAGGAGGAAAATAAAAGAAAACCCAGAAGGGTTTGTATATATATGCTTGTACATGCATGTGTAGTGTGACCTAAGTGTAAGTAGGAGGAATAAGATGTACCTGAAACCTTGTATGTTTATGAGACAAAAAAAAAAGACACTAGTAATCCTACCATCATGTAAAACAATTACAGGTTTCCATTTCACACTTACTTGGCAGGACAGTAGTGCCACCCTAGGTGATTGCTGTCCACCAACCGTCTAGTACCTATATTTTTGTCATACACAAAAATTTAAATTTCCTGTGTGTGGCAAGATTTTGGAAAAAAAAAAAACTATATAAGAAAAACAGGCTCTGTAAACTGAGACTTTATGCTGGCATAACAGAAATTATTTTCAAGCATGAAAGGAAAATCAGGTCCCTACTTCCATGAAATGTATGCATTTCCGGAACTTCTTCTTTCAACGTACCAGCCGTATCCCACTGAGGTGGGGTGGCCCAAAAGGAAAAGCGAAAGTTTCGCCTTTTAAATTTAGTAATATATACAGGAGAAGGGGTTACTAGCCCCTTGCTACCGGTATTTTAGTTGCCTCTTACGACACGCATGGCTTATGGAGGAATTCTGTTCCACTTCCCCATGGAGATAACAGGAAATAGACAAGAACAAGAACTAGAAAGAAAATAGAAGAAAACCCAGAGGGGTATGTATATACAGTGGACCCCCGCTTAACGATCACCTCCAAATGCGACCAATTATGTAAGTGTATTTATGTAAGTGCGTTTGTACGTGTATGTTTGGGGGTCTGAAATGGACTAATCTACTTCACAATATTCCTTATGGGAAAAAATTCGGTCAGTACTGGCACCTGAACATACTACTGGAATGAAAAAAGTTCGTTAACCGGGGGTCCACTGTATATGCTTGTACATGTATGTGTAGTGTGACCTAAGTGTAAGTAGAAGTAGCAAGACGTACCTGAAATCTTGCATGTTTATGAAACAGAAAAAAGGACACCAGCAATCCTACCATCATGTAAAACAATTACAGGCTTTCATTTTACACTCACTTGGCACTCACTGGGTGGTTGCTGTCTACCAACCTACTACCTATAATTTCCAGAACTACATGTACTTATTTGCAGTATTGTGTTGTAGTGTTGTCGATATACCTGATGACAACTTATGGCTGGCTGACGACTGAGAAAGGAGAGAAGAAACACCCACTGTCATTCATTCAATTGCTGTTTTGCCACAAGTGTGCTGACATCACAGTTTAGATGACCTTAAATGCAACATCTCTTTCCCAGAGTGCAGACACTGTACTTGCCACCTCAGTGACTCAAGTCCAGCTAATTAATTGATTTCCCGGTTTCCCATCATAAATGTTACCTTATACTCCAACAGCACGTCAAGTCAGAAAAACCTCTTGTTTCCACTCCAGTCTAATGCACACACACAAGCCTGTTGGATATTCAAGGCTCTAGTACACAAAACCTCCTTTACCCCCTCCCTTCAACCCTTCTTGGGACAACCTCCACCTCTCCTTCCACCCTAGATTTATAGTCATTCTATTTGTTTGTATTGTATCCTTTCTAAATGCTCAAACCATCTCAATAACCCCACCCTCAGCTCTCTGAATTATACTTTTGGTAACCCCACACTGTATCAAAATTATACTTTAATATAGTACAATTGTTATAATTTACTGAGAAGAATTTTTGTAGCTTTTATTCTTTTATGTAAAATTAAGTACTTTCATAGAAAAATACATCTGACTATTTTTAGAGTGGATGTGGAAGTCGCTTAGAGCAGTGGTTGGTTAAACACAAGCGTAGTGGAAGTGTGGAACAACTGCAAGGAGAGATGTGCTCCAACCTTTACACTGATGCTGTTTCACTTGCTACTGCTACATTCACTGACAACATTCTTACATTCAGAGACCTTTTGTTAGAAATGGGTAAGTGGCTCTTGTTTGATGTTTAATGAAAAAATAACTTTTTATTTATGTAATGATTACAAAATCTCTTTACCAGTGTAATAGAAACTTCGTCTAACTCCTCTAAAATAAAGACTGATTATCCTAAATCACCTCTTGTGTGCAAGGGCTGTCCAGGTTTTTTTTTTATTTCAAAAACTTGTCTAAAAATATTGAAGCAGAGAATGATGTGGGAGGTGCTTGGAAGACTTGCTGGTAATTTCCATAAATGGGCCAATTTTCCGGAACATACTCCACATGATACGAGTGTTTAGAGCATTTAAAAATGCTCTGTGTAATAGAATACACTAAACATTCATAGTCTGGTACTGTATTGACAAGAAACATATATCATGGTTCCATTTATCACCAATAATGCATGGAACCTGGCAGTGTGGTGGGTGGCTTATGTATGGTAGACCCTTGAATATGATGCATCTGAACCATGTTATAACAAAAACATGTTAAGTTTTTGCAACAGATTTGCACAGCATGCCATGAAACTTGAATAGCACGCCGTAAAAGTTTTAAAAAGGTGGCTCAAGCACGAGACTTTTATTCAAAACTGGTTACTGACTCCAGGTCAGTGTAGTGTATGCTGTAGTAGCCCTCTTGACCTCAACAGATGATAAAACATGTGACTGACAGCCATTTACTGCTCACTTGAGCAGTAGATGGCTGTCAGTTTCAAGCAAGAGTAAGTATTTAACCTTTTGCAGGTGGGTGCCGTAGGGCTACAGCTCTGAAGTGGGGGTCGATGTCGTAGTTCTACATGATGAGCTCATCTCACTCAGATAAGCTGTGAGCAGTAAATTCTGACCTAGATATGAGAGAATGGGTCTATGTGGTGAGTGTGCACCATATAAAAAAAAAAAGTCATGCTTTGCGTGGTGTATGATTGGAAAAAGCTGCGACCATGCTCTTGGTTTAAAACAGTGACTTTGCAGTGTGTTTTTGTATGGTTTGTGTGGTTGTATTCTCGAGTTTCTTGGTCTCATTTGATAGAATGGAAGATGTATTACAGAAATAGAGGTGATTTTGATTGGTTTCAATACTGGAAGTAGCTTGAAATTGAACCCAAAGTAGTGGAAATGTTCAGTTTTTGCCCATATTCCAGAGCACACAAATTACTCTGGAATATGGGCAAAAATTGAACATTTCCACTACTTTGGGTTCAATGTGCATCCAACCGGTTGGTTTAATATTCATTTAGAAATGTGCTGACATTATTTATGCAATTATTATAATAATGCAGTAGTCTGCATATCAGTAAATCTTCTATTTTTTGTGTGAATAAAAATTCAAAATGGAAAGCAAGTGTAATATAGGAGAGGCCTGGGGATGTAACTAATGAGCAGAGGAAATGTTTTTTAAGTGCGAGGAATATCTGCAAATTATCAATTTCTGATCACTTTATTGATAAAATAGGTAAATGGGTGATTTCTTGTACTAACTTGATATAATAAAAAGAATACTAGTGAAATAGCTATGAGTTTGGGCAACTAGAACAATGGAATTAGCCAAAAAGAGGGCTCAGAGTGGATGAAATCGCTGATACATAAATATCACCAAGACCGCTAGCTTTGCGAGAGTGTAATTTTGTAAGTTTTCTGCCAAATTTCATACTTTTGGTTTCATTACCTTCAGAATAGATTCTCTGTCATTTCATGAGAAAAAAATTATTTTTTTTTTTAAATTCTTTGATCCTGAGAGCAACTCTCAGATCAGGGATCCCAACCCTAAAATAATTAAGGTTGGGTATTTTTTTTTTTTTTTTTTTTTTTTTTTTTTTTTTTTTTGCATGTTTTGTACTGATAAGATTGTGTATTAAATTTATAAGTCACTGGTGGCATATTAGCCTTAAGTGTTTTCTCTGGATGAAACACCATGCCCATAATTTCTGGAAGGAATAGATGGAAGTGCATATGGCGTCAAACATCAGCGTCACACTCCAGCTTTCTCCAAGCCTTATTAAATAAGTTTATTTAGTAAAACAAAATTTGGGTATGTAACATATATTTGTAGATCAACAAGCAGTGACATCTAACATGTAAGGTGTCAAAAACTTCATTAATTTTGATGCAGTAAGAAATTAGAAACAATTTGTTTGGCCTCTAGAGGTCTGGAGCATGTAATAATTTTCCCATGTGTTCTTCAGTTCACTTAACATGATTTTGCATAACACTCCATTATCAGGAATGCAACTAGTGTATTATTAAAAAAAAATTGTGTGTGAAATGCAGTATGTTCAACCCTATGAATTAAGATAAGGAAGTGACCTTGCTGTGGGTCGCATTGAGTAACCATACATTCAGAAATCATATAATTAAGTCCTTATATTGAAAGCAGTCATATAATTTGTAATATGTACAGGGTAGAAATATGATACATTATGTGCATCACCTCTTAAAAGTATAAATAAAATTTACTGTACTAATTTTAAGTACTATAATATACCGTATTTCGTGGCTCACAAGACTTGTTTTAGTTTCAATGGCTCGGCATTAGATGTAACTGGGAGAGCTACAGCCCACCCCACACCCTGAACTTATAGCTCCCATCACTGACCTTCAGTTTATGGGCCACAGGGTGGTTTTTGGAGACATTTTATGGAAAAAAAAAGTGTCTAATAAGCCACGAAATACGGTACATTACAGCATTGTCTTAAGAATTTAGTATTTGCTAATGCTTGTGTATTTTTTCAGAATTTATTTGTGGTATGTTGGGCTATGTGGAATTTTTGAAACGAGACTGGCTAACTGGTATATTTGAATGGCAGAATGAGTTGGGTTGCTTCCCAGCAACTAAACCATATCTTACTGTGGGTCGAAAATTGCTAACAGAGGAAAGGCTTCCAGGTAATGATATTCTTTATCAAACTATTTGTTCAGTATTCTGAGTTCATGACTATGATTGTAAATTGGGTGTTTGTAACCACAGGAGCAGAGCTAAGCTTGTGGAGTGTCATTTTTTTTGTCGTGTAACTCGTTTCATTGTTCTACCAGTGTTGGCAAAGAAAAAATTTGTAATACTATATCTTTTGAATACTACCTGTGTTCATTAGTTTTTAATTATGGCCTGTTGTTTTCCCTGTTGATGGTGTTTGGCATCTTATGTATCATTCATTTTGCAGTTTTTTAAATCTTTAGTTTGTTTGACTTTTGGTTAATCAATAGGAATATAACCTGTCTGTTTTTACCTCCTAAACCACTAGTTTAGGACTGTTCTACCACTGCCTTATTTTTACATACTATTTGGCTTAGTTTTACATTCCATTTACTATGAATAGGCATTGTGACTACACTTCTGGGAGTGTCCTTGCACAGAGGTCATTCTCACAGTCATTATTTGTTGGTTATCTCATACTTGTTGCCCAGTATGGAAGAAGAGTTTAACTGTAAATATGATTGTACAATCAACTGATGGGCCTCAACCATGCATGAAATGTGACTGCTGATTTGTGATTACTGTACCTATTTGTAGCTACAAGAACAGTGCTAAACTCATGGTGTCCTATCTTTGATATAAAATTTGTCATGTAATTGGTTTCCCTCCATGGAGAAGTGGAAAAGAATTCTTCCTCCGTAAGCCATGCGTATTGTAAGAGGCGACCAAAATGCTGGGAGCAAGAGGCTTGTAGCCCCTTCTTGTGTATAAATTACTAAATTTGAAAAGAAAATTTTTTGTTTTTCTTTTTAGATCACCCTGCCTCTGTGGGATATGGCCGGTATGTTGAAATATGGTGTTTGTAACCATGCTACCTTTTCCTGTAATTCATTCCAGTGTTCTGCCACTGTTTATCTGTTTTTCTCTTTCTGTTTCTATTAAATATGAGAAGGTGTGGAGTTAATAAAAGTATTAGTCAGAGGGCTGAAGAGGGGTTGTTGAGGTGGTTTGGTCATTTAGAGAGAATGGATCAAAGTAGAATGACATGGAGAGCATTTAAATCTGTAGGGAAAGGAAGGCGGGGTAGGGGTTGTCCTCAAAAAGGTTGGAAGGAAGGGGTAAGGGAGGTTTTGTGGGCGAGGGGCTTGGACTTCCAGCAGGCGTGCGTGAGCGTGTTTGATAGGAGTGAATGGAGACGAATGGTATTTGGGACCTGACGATCTGTTGGAGTGTGAGCAGGGTAATATTTAGTGAAGGGATTCAGGGATATTTGGGGTATTGGCAGTTTGGAGGGATATGTTGTGTATCTTTATACGTATATGCTTCTAAACTGTTGTATTCTGAGCACCTCTGCAAAAGCAGTGATAATGTGTGAGTGTGGTGAAAATGTTGAATGATGATGAAAGCATTTTCTTTTTGGGGATTTTCTTTCTTTTTTGGGTCACCCTGCCTCGGTGGGAGACGACTGACTTGTTGAAAAAAAAAAAAAAAAATTTCAGGGAAACCGGTTATTTTTATATAGCCGGACTTGAGTCCTGGAAATGGGAAGTACAATGCCTGCACTCTAAAGGAGGGGTTCGGGATATTGACGGTTTGGAGGGATATGTTGTGTATTTTTATACATATATGCTTCTTAGCTGTTGTGTTCTGAGCACTTCTGCAAAAACAGTGATTATGTGTGAGTGAGGTGAAAGAGTTGAATGATGATAAAAGTATTTTCTTTTTGGGGATTTTTTTTCTTTTTGGGTCACCCTGCCTCGGTGGGAGACGGCCGACTTGTTAAAAAAAAAAATCACACTAAATTAAATAATCCATTTAGCACTCCACTTCCCAATCTTTCTAGGTTTCCCTGCAAAGATGCATATTTATTTTTATTTCTTATCTTGCATAGAATCCTTGCATCATCAGCAAGCATGTTCTTTTAATTTTGTATTCCATCTGGTCATTCAAGCTTATGAGTGTTCATTTTTGCCTTTCTACATGTGCAGTATTAAGTTTCATAATTTTAAGATTTTTTTTGGCACTGGACTGTAGAGCTCATTTTAAATTTGATATTCAGTATAATAAGACAGAACATCAGATTTCAATTTTTTTTATAGCTGAAAAACTTGATTATGTATTATTATTATAATCATAATTAAGCGATAAACCCTCAAAAACTTGAAATTTGAAAAGATCATGAAACACTACAAAATGGAAAACAAACTCATCTGATTGGCTTCAAATTTCACCACTGATGTGGTTTTCTGAACACAAGGTTCATGGCCTAAAATAGACTTCATATTTGGTGAAATTGTGATGTGTATATTGCACCCAGACTGCCAGATTCATGCTGACATATTTTCATAAGTTTTACATCAAATTTTGCATTTTTGGTGTCATCACCTTCAGTAAAAGATTCTGTACCTTTTCAGTAGATAAAACTATTATTATTTTTTAAATTGCAACATTGTCAGTATTTTTAATTTTAGGGGTTGCAACAGTGAAAGGGTTAATCATAATACCCATGAGGAATACTAGTGATGCTGGAAGTGCCAAAAAAGAGTAAGCATGATCTCTTACAGTATTGAAGATAGTGTTAATTTTTTGATAAGCTTAGAGGTGTTATATGTGCAGTGTAATTCAGACTGCCCACACTTTTGTTTGGAGAGAATCCACCAACTGCACAGTAGTATGCATATTAATTGGGACAGTGATGAATTAAGACATTTATTTGGAAAATTAATGTTTATTTAAAAAATACACAGCACTGATATGACAGATAATTGATTTTAATAAGAAATATGACTACCCTTTGCTTTTATAAGCATTGCTACTTGCTTTGGCATAGAATCAGCTAATGAACACATTTTGGCAAGTTTTTTTAATTGTGGTACCAGGTCCTAATAATAGCAGCAGTTAGCTTGTCCACAGTTGAACAGTCCTGTTTTGTGAGCCTGTGTTTTGTTAATGCCCACAACAACAGCTGTTGTAGCATTGACAAGAGTCACAGGGTAACACCACAGCTGGATGGTTGCCAGAAATCAGTAGCAAACCCATATGAATAGAAAAGATCCCAGACAACATTAGTTAGGCTGGATACTAAGACATATTATGAGATAATCACAAAGTTTACTCCTGTCCTAGTTAATTTGCACACTACTGTACAGTTAGAGACAAGAAGAAAATGAGAGCTTATGTAAAGAGTAGTGCACATTGTGACCTGGTGAAAAAAATGCCAATTCTGAGGGATAAAACAGACAAGAGATCCATTAAAGAATAGTACTCAAGCATTCCATTACAACTATCAGCTGCTCACAGCTCTGTATTCACAATAACAAGAACTATAGCAGTATATATAAATCTAATAGGGCTGAGGTTGACACTTCCATGTCAACAAGCAACAGCAACTAGAATGTTGAGTAAGTAAGCTGAATTAATTTGTACCTACTAGCTAGTAAAGGACCCCAATGGAAGTAAGTCACTTTGTCTGACTTTTTTGGGTTATCCTAGGTTCTCTACACATATGCTGCTATGTATGATAATCTATGTAACTGTATTTGTGTATACCTGAATAAACTTACTTACTTACCAGAATATTTAAATAAAAGTTGTTTGGCAAATTTAGAGAAATGTAGAACGTAACTCTGTTTCCCCCATATATTCTTCACTTCACATACCAATATTTTCCATATGTGGCCAATTTTCATGAATGTATTCTCCCTTTTATGATTGTGTTTACTGTATATCGTGTGTATGTGATGGTCTGGAATATTAATACAGTAGTTAATTTTTTCCAACATAGATGGGTGCCAATCACATTTAACAGCGGTTGCATCAGCAGCTTTGTCAGTCCACTTGCGTTACTTATTATACCCTGGACATGAGGCAGTAAGAGTTGGAGCAGCTGGTGGAAAAATTTCCCCTTTACCATTGGCTCTGCAGCCACCACTTGGGTCTTTCCAAGTTCACACTGGCTCTGGAATATTGCTCAATCAGCCACTCTTTAGGGATGATATTCCTTCAGGGTTGAGTAGGTAAGATTTTTTCTTTTGATTTATTCCTTCATTTACTAAGTTCTTAAATAATTAAATTTTCAGTTCTTTCCCTATTATACATATTCAGAATTTAGCCTTCATATTTGTTTGTATATAAAAGTACACCAGGTACAGTTGCATATAAAAATACACCAGGTATAGTGCTATTGTTTGAAAGAAAGGCAGTAAGCCAACACTTAATAAATAAAAATATGATGTTTTGCTCAATGAGAACATCATCAAGCCTCCACTGAGTAAAACATTTATATTAATAAAGGCTTTCTCATGCTATATGTCTGTGATTTAGTGGTATCATTATTGAAATAAGTAATGACCTTTAAGGGTGGCTGAACAAGACAAGTCCCTGGAAGACAAGGCTGACATTGTCTTAAAACATCTAGAAGAAATGAAAGCAAGCACCAAGAAGGAAGCCTCCATAACACAAGCTGCCATGGCTCTACTGTCCAGCAGACCAGGTGGTGTACCCAAGCACAGTAATAAGTTTATCCTTCCTGAACTTGCCCTTCCAGTACCACATTATTTATCTTCCACTGCATCTGAAACTACTTCTCATACTTCCATGGCTCCATTCTATTTTGTGATAGCTAGTATAGCATTGGTTATTCTAGTAATGCTTAGATATGTTCATGCCAAAAGGAGAGCTCATTCAATGTTTAGAAACAGATTTAGACTTGAGTGAATGAAAGTTATCCTTTGAAAGATTATTTTGGTACTTGGCAGATACTTTCGAACAAATTTTTATTTTGCAAATGCCTGTAAAACAAATTTTTATTTTGAATTTTTTTTTTTAAATGTTTATAATAAAATACTAAAAGACAGAGATGTAATTTCTCTGTTTAGTTACTGGTTACCTGTGAACCAGTGGCTGCTACTTTGATTCCTCAAACGTCTTCCAATCATGTGTGTTCTCTGTCAGTGTATGATATGAAAGATAATATTCGTGAGCATTAGACAGGAATTCTTTATCTTACATAATTTATGATACATTAGTACCTTTATTAATTCAAATTTTAGTTATTTTATTTATAAAGGTGAGCCAGAAGGCACAATTTCATTTGGTGTATTTGGGAAGCACAATGACAGTGAACCTCCCATAAATTTGCCAGCAGGAAGGGCAACTGGCATTTATTTCTTTTTTAGAGGGCTTGTAAATGCTTTCTTTGTCCCCTTTCCTCACTTTTCCAACTCACCAGACTAGTTATGAAATGATGCCCCTTTATTCTGTATTTTGTATATAAATTTACCTATTTGTAACTAAATAATTGTTACAGGAATAGAGCTTATGATAATGTCCTATCTTTTATTATATATTTGTCATACAAGTTTTTTAAAATTCCTAATGGATTTGGCACACTTTCTTAACTAATCCCATTCCAGCAATTAGCCACTCTGAAAAAATACTTTTCAGTGTTTTTTTGCACTGCTTTGAATGCACTGTAGTTTAATATTATGGCTTCTTGTTCTGCCTATTGCTAGCACCAGGTAATCATTGTTCTTTAAATTTTCACATGATTTTATGACCTTATATAGAGTTATGGTTTTCCATTCCTTCTCCTGTCTTCTGAGGGTTGGAGCACATACTAGGTACCTCCTTCCTCTTGGTTTTTATTCCAGCAATCTACTATTCCATCTTCCTGCCTTTCTTTCAATTCTGAGAGATAGATAGATAGATAGATAGATTTTTTTTTTTTTTTTTCAACAAGTCGGTCGTCTCCCACCGAGGCAGGGTGACCCAAAAAAGAAAGAAAATCCCCAAAAAGAAAATACTTTCATCATCATTCAACACTTTCACCACACTCACACATTATCACTGCTTTTGCAGAGACTCAACAATCAATATTTGCACCAATAACTCATTACAGTTGTGACCGGGTGTGGAAGTGTGAATTGCTCATTACTCTATAATTTGTTCATGATTGTAGCCAAAGTATAAACGTAAGTAACCATTCTACAGAATTCATTACCTTTGTAACTTCTGAGCTCATTACCTTTGTACCTAGTTCAGCTATCAAAACTTTGGGGGCCCAGTCCCTGGACCCATTACGTACCTCTGTAATCTGTAAATACCTTTGTAACTTGTCATGATTGTGACCAGACTTACCTGGAGTTCATTACCTTTGTAAATTGTGAGTTCATTACCTTTGTAAATTGTGAGTTCATTACCTTTGTAAATTGTGAGTTCATTACCTCTGTAACTTGCTCAGCTATCAAAACTTTGGAGTCCAGTCCCTGGACCAATTATGTACCTCTGTAATCTTTTGACTACCGCCCACAGGATGGGTATGGGGTGCATAATAAACATATTAAACTAACTTTTGCAGAGGTGCCCAGAATACAACAGTTTAAAAGCATATATGTATAAAGATACACAACATATCCCTCCAAACTGCCAATATTCCAAACCACTCCTTTAAAGTGCAGGCATTGTACTTCCCATTTCCAGGACTCAAGTCCGACTATATGAAAATAACCGGTTTCCCTGATTTTTTTTTTTTTTTTTTTTTTTCCCACCGAGGCAGGGTGACCCAAAAAAGAAAGAAAATCCCCAAAAAGAAAATACTTTCATCATCATTCAACACTTTCACCACACTCGCACATTATCACTGTTTTTGCAGAAGTGCTCAGAATACAACAGTCTAGAAGCATACACATATAAAGATACACAACATATCCCTCCAAACTGCCAATATCCCAAACCCCTCCTTTAAAGTGCAGGCATTGTACTTCCCATTTCCAGGACTCAAGTCCGACTATATGAAAATAACCGGTTTCCCTGAATCCCTTCACTAAATAACCCTGCTCAACACTCCAACAGATCGTCAGTCCCAAGTATCATTCGTCTCCATTCACTCCTATCTAACACGCTCATGCACGCTTGCTGGAAGTCCAAGCCCCTGCCCACAAAACCTCCTTTACCCCCTCTTTCCAACCCTTTCGAGGACGACCCCTACCCACTTTTCCTTCCCTATAGATTTATATGCTTTCCATGTCATTCTACTTTGATTCCATTCTCTCTAAATGACCAAACCACCTCAACAACCCCTCTTCTGCCCTCTGACTAATGCTTTTATTAACTCCACACCTTCTCCTAATTTCCACACTCCGAATTTTCTGCATAATATTTACACCACACATTGCCCTTAGACAGGACATCTCCACTGCCTCCAACCGTCTCCTCGCTGCTGCATTTACCACCCAAGCTTCACATCCATATAAGAGTGTTGGTACTACTATACTTTCATACATTCCCTTCTTTGCCTCCATAGATAACGTTTTTTGACTCCACAAATACCTCAACGCACCACTCACCTTTTTTCCCTCATCAATTCTATGAATTAACCTCATCCTTCATAAATCCATCCGCCGACACGTCAACTCCCAAGTATCTGAAAACATTCACTTCTTCCATACTCCTCCTCCCCAATTTGATATCCAATTTTTCTTTATCTAAATCATTTGATACCCTCATCACCTTACTCTTTTCTATGTTCACTTTCAACTTTCTACCTTTACACACATTCTCAAACTCATCCACTAACCTTTGCAATTTTTCTTTAGAATCTCCCATAAGCACAGTATCATCAGCAAAAAGTAACTGTGTCAATTCCCATTTTGAATTTGATTCCCCATAATCTAATCCTTCCCCTCTCCCGAACACCCTAGCATTTACTTCTTTTACAACCCCATCTATAAATATATTAAACAACCATGGTGACATTACACATCCCTGTCTAAGACCTACTTTTACTGGGAAGTATTCTCCCTCTCTTCTACACACACCCTAACCTGAGCCTCACTATCCTCATAAAAGCTCTTTACAGCATTTAGTAACTTACCACCTATTCCATAAACTTGCAACATCTGCCACATTGCTCCTCTATCCATTCTATCATATGCCTTTTCTAAATCCATAAATGCAATAAAAACTTCCCTACCTTTATCTAAATACTGTTCACATATATGCTTCAATGTAAACACTTGATCTACACATCCCCTACCCACTCTGAAGCCTCCTTGCTCATCCGCAATTCTACATTCTGTCTTACCTCTAATTCTTTCAATTATAACCCTACCGTATACTTTTCCTGGTATACTCAGTAACTTTTCCTCTATAATTTTTACAATCTCTTTTGTCCCCTTTCCCTTTATATAAAGGGACTATACATGCTCTCTGCCAATCCTAGGTACCTTCCCCTCTTTCATACATTTATTAAACAAAAGTACCAACCACTCCAACACTATATCCCCCCCTCCTGCTTTTAACATTTCTGTCATGATCCATCAGTTCCAGCTGCTTTACCCCCCTTTCATTCTACGTAATGCCTCACGTACCTCCACCACACTTACATTCTGCTCTTCTTCACTCCTAAAAGATGTATACCTCCCTGGCCAGTGCATGAAATTACCACCTCCCTTTCTTCCTCAACATTAAAAGTTCCTCAAAATATTCTCGCCATCTACCTAATACCTCCCTCTTCCTCCCCATCTACTAACTCCCCTACTCTTGTTTTTAACAGACAAATCCATACTTTCCCTAGGCTTTCTTAACTTGTTTAACTCACTCCAAAATTTTTTCTTATTTTCATTAAAATTTCTTGACAGTGCCTCTCCCACTCTTTCATCTGCTCTCCTTTTGCACTCTCTCACCACTCTCTTCACCTTTCTTTACTCTCCATATACTCTGCTCTTCTTATAACACTTCTGCTTTGTAAAAACCTCTCGTAAGCTACCTTTTTCTCTTTTATCACACCCTTTACTTCATCATTCCACCAATCACTCCTCTTTCCTCCTGCCCCCACCCTCCTATAACCACAAACTTCTGCCCCACATTCTAATACTGCATTTTTAAAACTATTCCAACCCTCTCAACCCCCCCCCCACTACTCATCTTTGCACTAGCCCACCTTTCTGCCATAGTCGCTTATATCTCGCCCGAACTTCCTCCTCCTTTAGTTTATACACTTTCACCTCCCTCTTACTTGTTGTTGCCACCTTCTCTTTTCCCATCTACCTCTTTACTCTAACTGTAGCTACAACTAAATAATGATCTGACATATCAGTTGCCCCTCTATAAACATGTACATCCTGGAGCCTACCCATCAACCTTTTATCCACCAATACATAATCTAACAAACTACTTTCATTACGTGCTACATCATACTAATGTATATTTATTTATCCTCTTTTCATAAAATATGTATTACTTATTACCAAATTTCTTTCTACACATAGCTCAATTAAGGCTCCCCATTTACATTTACCCTGCACCCCAAATTTACCTACTACTCCCTCCATAACATTTTTACCCACTTTAGCATTGAAATCCCCAACCACCATTACTCTCACACTTGATTCAAAACTCCCCACGCATTCACTCAACATTTCCCAGAATCTCTCTCTCTCCTCTACACTTCTTTCTTCTCCAGGTGCATACACGCTTACTATAACCCACTTTTCACATCCAATCTTTATTTTACTCCACATAATCCTTGAATTTATGCATTTGTAGTCCCTCTTTTCCTGCCATAGCTTATCCTTCAACATTATTGCTACTCCTTCTTTAGCTCTAACTCTTTTGAAACCCCTGACCTAATCCATTTATTCCTCTCCATTGAAACTCTCCCCACCCCTTCAGCTTTGTTTCACTTAAAGCCAGGACATCCAGTTTCTTCTCATTCATAACATCCACAATCATCTCTTTCTTATCATTTGCACAACATCCACGCACATTCAGACTTCCCACTTTGACAATTTTCTTCTTCTTATTCTTTTTAGTAATCTTACAGGAAAAGGGGTTACTAGCCCATTGTTCCCGGCATTTTAGTTGACTTTTACAACACGCATGGCTTACGGAGGAAAGATTCTTATTCCACTTCCCCATGGATATAAAAGGAAAAGTAATAAGACCAAGAACTATTAAGATAAAATCAAAGAAAACTCAGATGAGTGTGTATAAATAAACGTGTACATGTATGTGTAGTGTGACCTAAGTGTAAGTAGAAGTAGCAAGACGTACCTGTCATCTTGCATATTTATGAGACAGACAAAAGACACCAGCAATCCTACCATCATGTAAAACAATTACAGGCTTTCATTTTACACTCACTTAGCAGGATGGTAGTACCTCCCTGGGTGGTTGCTGTCTACCAACCTACTACCTATATATATATATATATATATATATATATATATATATATTTTTTTTTTTTTTTTTTAACAAGTCGGCCGTCTCTCACCGAGGCAGGGTGACCCAAAAAAGAAAGAAAATCCCCAAAAAGAAAATACATTCATCATCATTCAACACTTTCACCACACTCACACATTATCACTGCTTTTGCAGAGGTGCTCAGAATACAACAGTTTAGAAGCATATACGTATAAAGATACACAACATATCCCTCCAAACTGCCAATATGTTATATATATATATATATATATATATATATATATATATATATATATATATATATATGTGTGTGTGTGTGTGTGTATGTATGTATGTATGTTTGTGGAGATATGATGGTTGGAGATAAACACAAATTGTTGGGTGGTAACACTTACATTAGCAGTGTGTGAGAGGGAAGCCCAGCCTGTCCTGTTGCCTGTTGTAGACCTATCCGTGAACTGAGGAAGGGACAGAGTGTCTGACGCTCACATGCGGCATCATGTGACGTCACATGCTAGCCCCTAGGCCTAGCAAGGGATCGTGTATATAAAGTACAGTGGACCCCCGGTTAACGATATTTTTTCTCTCCAGAAGTACAGTGGTCCCTCAATAATCGTCCATAATCCGTTCCTGGAAGTGGGACTATTATCGAAATGGACGATTTTCGAATCAATTTTCCCCATAAGAAATAATGTAAATCCAATTAATTCGTTCCAGACACCTAGAAGTATCAACATAAAATTTTTTTTTTACCTAAAAGATAGATTTACATGCACAAAAGAATGAACATTCAACATGACAGTTACCTTTATTGAAGGCTGTTGTTGATGAATGGAAGACAGGGAGGAGGAGAGAAGGAAGAGAGGTTATTTGGAAGGGGAATCCCCCTCTATAAGGACTCTAGGGCACTAATAAAATGTATAAATGAACATTGGTAATAGGGGTAGTTGATGAGTGGAATGGTCTGCCTAGTAGGGTGATCGAACCTAAAACTTTGGGGTTTAATTTCAAATTTGGGTTTGGAAATAAATACAGAGTGAGAGGGGTTGGATTTGAGTCGGACTTGCACCTGAGCTTATTGCTTGGGTAGCATTTGTTCTGTTAGTGGGTTGGATTTGTGAAGGCCCGGGCCCTAGTATGGGCCAACAGGTTATTGCATTTGTTCCCCCTTTTCCCATGTTCAAAAAAGCTATGGCTTGGGTAGTTTCAAATTTAGGGTTTGGATAAATACACAAGTGAAAGGGGTTGGATTTGAGTCGGACTTGCACCTGAGTTTATTGCTTGGGTAGCATTTGTTCTGATAAATTAGACACATGTGCAACTCTTGGGTATCTTTATTGAGGAAACGTTTCGCCACACAGTGGCTTCATCAGTCCATACAAAGGAGAATCTTGAAGAACAGGAGGAGAATGAGGTAATCAGTCCCTCAACCTTGAGTCGATGTGGTCAGTCCATCAATCTTGAATAGAATACGGCATACGTGCGGAGAAGGAGCTTATAAACCATTGGTAGGAGAGGTGCAGCAGGCATAGGCGGTGACACCGCCTATGACTGCTCTGGTAACTCTAGCCACTCATTTGGGACTTGCAAATGAGTGGA